CCCCACGTGGCTGCAGCGGCTGCCCGGCCGGCCGGCCGGCCGGCCGGCTCCGCTCAGGTGATCAACCGTCCCGCTATTTTTTTCTGCCTACCCCCTTTTGGATATCGTTTTTAAAAGATGCCACGTTTTTTTGCGTCTTTAGCACGCGCCCCGCACCACTGCCGTGGCGTTCGAAAGAGAGTAGGAAAAGAAGCGCTGACAAGCAATGCAACAATGGAATGGTCAGACAAAATGGTGGGCGATGGGATGCGCCATACTGCATTATGGTCACGAATGATTTATCCAGTGATAGTGATATCTATCTCCATAATTTCCTGTAATGGTTTTGATATTTACCTTTCGTTGCTTTCCGAATACTGTGCATCATGTCTGAGAGTGTTGAATGGCATGAATACAGTGGATGAAACTGTAATTGCGGTCACGAGTTCAGGGCTTGCGCATGGCAAAAAGCTGGTTGAATTTCAAATGAAGTATCTAAGAAATTTATATTCATTCTGGTAGCTGCGTCTTTCCTGTGTTCAGGTCACTTCGTGAGGACAGCTGTCTATTCTTCAGAAATCTCCGGTATAAATGTTTTTATTTATTTATTTTAGAATATGTAGTCTAAATGAGTATGAATTAACGTGTTTTGTGACAGAAACTTATTTTCTTCTTACGGTTTCCACTTAGCGCAAGTTTGTGGCAGGAACAATGATATTCATTGTTGGTGTCTGGTGCCCATTGTTAAGTGATTATTGAAGAGTCGTAGCGTATTCTTTTACTGGAGTTAATAAAATAACTTATTATATTGACATAAATATTTATGAATGTAGATATTGTAAAAACTGTCCTAATCGAAATGTCATCTTGTTGCCATGTGATACATCTGTGCTGCTTGAAACAGTTTAGCAATAGTTGGATATTTCTGTACTATTGTGCTTCCCATGGTCCCCGCAAGGAGCGCGAATGTACCTATTGCCAGTGTAGCCAACACGCCGCCATGCAGCACACTGTTCGCTCAACTGCCTTCTTGTCGAAATTTGTTCTGATATGTCTGATATTAATTCGTTACAGTATCATGTGTTTGCAGTTTCAGTTAGCGGTTTTTAGTGCTTTTACATTGAATTAACCCTGAGAAAAAGTCATTTCATTCAAAGCAAGATATGTGACACATTTGGCTCGACATTTCGCGTTCAATACCACGCAGCCACTAGTTCATCTACATTTCTATCGTTTTGGAATGAAAGTTCCTTTTCTTAGGTTCGCAACTACCGATATAAACAAATTCAGTTTCCATCCTGTGCTTCGAAATTGTTTACTTTAACTCGTAATGTATAGTAATATATTATATAATTGGCTGTGAATTTTTGGGCGAGAAACGCTTGGGTAGTTTCATATGTTCATCAATTGTGGGATGAAAATTTAGTCTAGATGGCAGTGACTGCTGCTTAGGAATGACAGTTATCGGCAGGTTATCGGAGATTTGTTTGACAGGCTGTAACAGAGGTCTGTGCTAATTTATTAGAAGTGCATCTTGCAGTTGTGCATCTCTGCTGATTTTATAATTAATGTGTGATTCGAAGTGTCTTTGTTTACGCTGTGAATATATTTCAAGAACAGAATTGAGAACGTTCGATGAGTGTAGTTTGAAGTGTAGTTGCTTTCGTTTGCCTTAAGCCTATGATCGGCATTTATTATTCAAAAGAGTTGTATATTTTATACAACTTTATTAACGGTGCTGTTTCTTGACCCATGGTGATATGCAAGTGAGAATCCGTCTTTGCTCAGGGGATGAACTTTGGATAACATGCAAGAATTCATAGTCTTTTAATAGTAAATGTGATAAAAGGCAGAACGGTTAAAAATATGCATTCTATTTGGTAAGTTAATCTCGCTTTATGAAGAATGTAGGCAGAGTTCAGTATTGTAGGATGGTATTATGTCAAAACTATCTTTGTAGATTTCTTAACTACCGCAAATTTTATGCAAACAGTGGATGTTATTTCTATATTATATCTATTCCATCTAGGTAAAACTGGTTTTTGTAATTTTTCATGTAACTAATTGTGAAATTTGTTGCCATGTTACGTACAAAGTGATACATTTCAAATGATGACTCAATGACTGTCAGATAGTTCAAATGCTAAACTTAAATATGGCACGAAAATCTTTTCACATTAAAGGGCCTTCTGCCCGCTTTCTTACAAAATGCCTGGTGTACTTTCAGGTTGACATCAGTGTTGAAGCGAAGCGTGTGTTGCAAAGGACGTTCGAACAGATGAGGTGAGCACATCTCTTCTTTATGCAACCACTCGCCAAGTGCTTTCTTTGCCAAATAACTTATTTTGCTTCTTCAGTTTTGCACAATTTGTCGTAAAAAGTTTTTGAATCTGTTATGTGCTGTTCTGTATTTCTGAATGGCAACAAATTAAGTTCATTTATTTATTTTTCATTATCGAAGAAAGCATCCTCAAATGGGGGTTTTGTCTATAAATAATTTTCAGAAGGAAGTCCCAGTTTCTGCTCATTCACCTTGTTATTAAATTGTATAGTATTGAAATTCTGACATGACACTTGTTTATTTAATCAGATCTCCATATATTTTTATTGTAGCATTCTGTGCATGTAATCAGTAGACTTTTCTAGAATGCAGTGTCATAATAGCCACTTGAAGTAGACCTAGAAAATTTGCACCATTTGTGTGTAGATCACTGGAATTGGTTTTGTTTTTCGCAGTGCATTAATGATCTTTCATAATAACAGAAGATAATTTCAGATTTGATGATATTTATGAGGATTTAGTGGAATCTTCCTAGAATTTGTTGGGATGAATAAATAATTATTTATTATTGAGCTTTAGTGAATTACAATAAATTGTTCAACTTGTGTAGCTGTGCACTGATCACTAAGTTGCTTCATGTTGTAAATGTAATTGATTTACAACATTGTGATAAGTTCTCAGTGCTCAGTTTCTGGTTTTAAATAACCTTTAATTTGCCACTTCAGAACTTACTGTGCTTCTGGAAGTATACTAGTTTGTAATTGGGTTCATGTATGAGGTGGTATGACATCGCCACTCTGTGATGTTGAACTTTGGTTGGTTGCCTTGATGGTTGGTTCGGGGAGTGGGTCTGTGTGTGTTTGCATTTCTGGTGTTTATTTCCATTAGTCTTGCAAGGTGGAGAAGCTATTAATAAGACAGAGATGTCTTTCATTTCCAATCTTTGTATGCCAATTAAGTGGTGAGGCATAACTAATTTTCAATCTGAACACGATGGTAATTATTTTGGTAATCATTTTGACACACTGTTACATGTTCAGATCCTTTCAAATACAATAAGAAAACTTAATTTTTTTTTTATAATGGATGAAATTTTGGCTCTCAAGCTGTTTGGTGTTACATTTGTCTACAAAATAGTTTATAAAAAGAATAGTCTGTATTTGACGTTGATGCACTATTTTTGATTCAGCCATATTTACCCACAATCACAGACAGTGGTAGTGAAATGACATTAGAAAATTATAACATGTTATAAAGATATGCATGATATCTTTCTCTTTATAAATCTACTTGTGCACTATGGTTTTGTTGGTTTCATTTTGCATGGCTTGAATGCAATTGGTTTCTTAACTGTGGAAATATTTTAGTAGCATTATTCAAATGTTTTTCGTTTAATACACTTCGTAAGAATGAATTTGGCTCTTATAATAATACTTCTTTGGTATTATGATAAATTTCAGTGTATTTTTATGAATGATTTGAGTACTGCCCTGCAGTATGGTTGATAGTGTTTCACTCATTTTAATAAACTTAAAAGAATTTTAAGGAGTATTTGCAGACCTTTTGGTCTTTAATTACTTTCAATTATTTAAACAGAATGCCACCATCTATACTCCATACAATCCACTTTTAGTTATTTATGTTGTGGTTATTGCAAGAAATTTCTAATAAAATATTGAGACTGTAGCTATTTTATATTCTTTAACCTGGGTTTAAAATTCAATTACAGTTGGACTATTTTAAATGCTCTTCTATTGTTGTTTTCATGGGGAAAGAAAGACTTGTGAGATGTAACCACAAGTTTCTTTGTTGCAGTGCCGGGGCTGGCCATCCTGGTGTTGGTCGTGGCCGTGGTGCTGGCCACTCTGGGCCTGGTTACGTGCGTCGTGAGCCATTACCGAGCTGGTGGCGGAGGTCTGGGGGGCCGCGCTCGCTCGTGGCACAGTGAGCATCCACCCCCGGGCCCCGCCCCAACGGCACCCGTAAGTCCTTCCACTCTCTTCCTTGTTGAATCACCCAACACAATTGTTGAAGACTTTTAAACATTACTATTCTATTACAGAACATTATTTCATTCTAGTACACATTCTAATACATTATCTCATTCTTCGAAAGCAACTAGCTACCTTTCTTCGCAATCTCCTGCCTCTTACCTTGTAATTCCTTCAGGATTTTCATAGCTGCATAGTTTTCATAGTTCCGTAGTTCAAGTAAAACAGTATGATAATCTCTGCAAAATAATCTTAAAACAGAATTAAAAGTGAAGGGAAACATTTCTTCTAGCTGAAGAGAGAACAGCCTTCTCTGCTCTCTCAGGAGGCAAATCAGTTATCCTTCAGTAATATGCTCTTTTAAAGGGCATAAATCACAGAAATGTTTTGCACACATTGCTTGTTTAACAACTGGTGATGTACAAACAATCTTGAAACAATTTCATTGATATATTTCCAATCAGTTGGAAACTACAGAACTACAAGGGAGTAAGATTTTATTGTTCAGTAGTCTTAAGCCATTCGATTATCCAGAAAATATATATTTTTCATACTATCTCAAGTATATTTCCTTAATGGATATTGCTTACTAATTAACTTTGTCCTAATAAGTATACAGGTAAGTATGCTGAAATACTTACAAATGAAGATGCACATTGAAGTCATCAGCTGCGTAGGACTTAATAACCTATGACGATAGTCATTTTCACAGATCATTAGTAGTTTTTAAATTTTAGTCGTCTTGTATTTCTTTACTTGATTATGGAGTAGATATACATTTTCACTACTTTCTTCTTTAGTCTCCTCCAATTATGAACTTATCAGTCCTACACTGAATGTTACAAAATATGTTGAATGAATAGATTGATAGATTGTTTGATCTTTAGTTTGTTTTAAGAAGTTGTCTATGGTAATTGTCTTGTGTTCAGGTATGTGTTCAGTTTTTTTTAAATATAATCTCTCCTTATTATAATCCCCAACATCATTGTACAGCTATGAACTCTGTATCCTCAAATGATATATATTGGAGACAAAAGGGTACCAAAGTTTACAGGTTCCTCCACTCCATTTTAAATCGAGCTGCATAAACTGAATGAAGGCCAGTCCTTAGACCCCTATTCAGACAGAAAACATCAGTCAGTGTAATTATGTAAAAATTCACACTTCACTGCCGGAGATCCTGTTGTTTGGAATGTAGTTTGTTATGCATTTTCATATTACATATTAAGAACTCAATTTTTATGCTGAAATTCCATGATTTATCTCAATAATTCCGTGAAATCGCACTGGTCTTGTTTTTTGCATCTATGGGTAGGCTTCCAAAAACGTGGCATGATGTTCATTTTCCAAACAAATTTGTCAATGCAAAACATCTTTGTATAATTTGTTGGTGGTGTTGTAATATCCAGAGAGACTACTTTCTGGAAACTGGACAAAGTCATGGAATTTCATTGATTCAGAAAAGCTGAGGAATTTATAGAAGAATCTTTAGATATTATTCCTTGAGAAAATAGTACTACCTCTTTTAGGCCAATGTTTATTTCTTAAACCAGTAGGTAGTAAGGTGACAATTATAAACTTGTATTGTTAATTTGGTCTTTTTACAGAGAGATTGTGAGAGTGGACAAATTAGCAAGAGACATTGAAGCCACAGAGAAAAATAAAAAAGGCATGGGAAAAAACAGAAAATAGGGAAAATTTGTTCCTAAAGAGGTGTCGTTCTGAATAATAAGAGACTGTTTTGGTTTCTAAATTATCTCCAAGTGAAAGTGAAGCAAGAACAGGCTGGGCAGTAAAATGATGGAACATGTATAAATATAAACCCTTTTTAATTTCAGTTAGCTTAGTGTCAAGAGAGCCTTTATAGAAATAATAAGAATAAGAAATGAAATGTTTGATTCCTTGTTATTTAGTTGTTAGTAATTTAGCAAATGTTGCTGTAATGCAAATGTTTCCAGCTGTTCAGTTTTGTAAAGTAAATATTACAAAAAAGTAAACAGCAAATGGAAATTGTAAATAATTATCTTTCTCCTTTTAGACGGTGGATAGTTCTCCTTCCCCATTGTTTTGTAGTCAGGAAAGAGTAGAAAACATTAGCAGTGGGAAGATTTACCATTATGATGTGAAAAAATGTTGCCTTTTTTTCTATTTCAAGATACTTAACTACCATTTTTTCTAAAATTTACATGCTGTATGTGGTTTCAAGTGTTGTAAATTTTATGGGATTGATAAAGTATTGGGGTGATTGATCAAGTATTTTTTTTCCCCCATTATAATTGTCTTTGGTCCTCCTCCCATATTGCGATGTCCTCTTCCTCCAACTTTTTTGGCTCTTCTGGAAGTTCTGCACATTGAATTTGTATTCTTTGTCTTTCATCTGATGCCTTCTACAAACATTCCTTTCTGTGTCTCCATATTTTCTTTCTGTCCCATTATTTGAGGCCTCTGATTCTTTAACAGAGAACCCTTTAAATCTGTGCACCTCCAATTCACAAGTAACATGAGAGATAGTGACAAGTTTCGTAAATTTTTGTCTATTTTTTTATCATTGTTTTCTGTATTTGGATGTAGAAGATGTACTTCTATTATTGTGAATTTTTTCATTTCCATCTTTTTTGCTCTCTCTCACCGGGCATTGAACTGAGGGACTGCATAGCCCTGTTGATCAGCACATCGTGAAACAAAATTTTGGGAACAAGTTTTATTCATTTTCACATTTCATTTCACTGACATTCATTTTAAGATTTTCTATTTATTACCATCACATTAAAAAATATCGATCTGAATTGCCCAGGCAAAATTGCGATGGATGTAGACAATATGTCCATGTATATAGTTACGTATTATATATATTCTCTGTCTGGTATTTTTATTGCTTGTCGAAGCTTATTATTAAGTCAACTTTTGAATTTCGTGACGTGGAAAGACAATGGCAATACAAATTCTAGCCGATTCAGTTTAATCTGCAAATATAAAGCAACTTCATATTTTTTTTAATGAGAAATAAAAAAAATTCTAATCTTGTATTTGGATAAATACAGTACTGCCACTACACTTATGTTCTATAGTTTGTTATCTTCAAAATTGAGAAATAATCGGTATCATATATATGTTATAATTGATTTACTCCTTGCTGTTTGTTACTTTGTGAAATTTGTGTGTACTGATTATTTTAATTAAAGCACATTTTATGACTTGGGTACTAGTAGGTGAATTTTTATTGATAGAAAAATATTCCTAAACAAATGTTTTCATTCTTTATCTTCTTAGAAAACAACTACATGAAGAAATATATAATTATATTAATGTCAATATTAAATGTAATGTTATATCAAAATTTCAATTAAAAATAAGTTGTCTTTTAGTGATAAGGGACCCATTTAGTGACAAAATGAGAGAGAACAAATTTCCCTTAAGAATTACTAGTATACTATTTTGATAATACAATGGCAATTTACTATTGTCATTGGACACAGATTAATTCAAATATTTGTTTAAGTTTTATGAGCTGCATACTTAACTATTGTACTGTCTAGTGTTCGGTTATATTTCTATCTTTTGAACAGAAGTTTCTGTTCTTTCGTATATCAAATTTAAAGTCAATTCAAGACTCAATTTATGGTTTTACATGTACAGATGCTGGCCCTGCAGCCTGGAATGGAAAGGCTGAGCCACGAGATGAGGGATCGCCAGGTGCGCCTGCACTCCGTCAGTACTGACTTGGAGCTGGACCTGCCACCCAACATCGCTCTGCCAGATGGAGAAGAGATCCCTTATGGCAGTTCCACAAGGCTGCAGATCCGTGATCCTGAGCAGGTGTGTTGCCTCAGTATATTAAGTGTGGTAGCATTCCATTGAGAATATCAAGGAGAATTGTTATTTCATTTAAGTAAGAATATTTGGTATCCTGTTTTTCCCTATTTTTCATGTTTTAATTGGAGAAATTTGAAACTGGTGTAACCGGTAATTTGTAAAAATTAGACTTCCTGTTTTTTATGACACCATAAAAGAAATTAAGTGGAAATATAATATAGATTTCATTCTTGTTATGATTCACTAGTTAAACAAGTAATAACACAATTAAAGTAAATTTTTTAGAATGTTTGCTTTGTCAAATTTCCTCGTGCATGATAACACAACTGACTTGATTTTTAATTTTATGAGATATTTCAAATCTGCCAGCCGGACAAAGAAAAGTCTTTCAAAATACCATCAGAAATCTTCTATACATAGTCTACAGTCTTTCTTCTTTTCTATATTTCTCTTCAAGTCTTAAAATGTTCATAAAAGCTTAAAAAATAGGTTATTTGTTACAAGTTTTTTGCCAGACTGAAAAATGTAGGGTATATTATATTGATTCAGGGCATAGTATTATACTCTTACCTTTTGTCTTGTTACATTGGGCTCAAAATTGTCCAGACACAATTCTGACAAGCTAATTATGGAACCCTTTAGTTCATGAACTATTGAGAATTTATGGTAACATAATCATGAAGTGCAATCAGCAACATGAATAGCTTAGTACAGTACTTTGTGTTCATGAAGAGGTCTTCACGGTTTATGTTCCCATAATAAACTATAGTGTTGTTCTTTTTCTTTTCACAAACACGGTGAGTAAGAGAGAGAGCTGTTTTAACAATATTCTGGATGTTGTTTGGGTAAATCTTCCCCTTTTGTTTTGATTTCTTCTTTTTGAATTCCAGCAAACTGAAACCCATTGCAGGGAATTATTTGTTCAAGAACTGGTACTTCATTAGCATTTCTATAAATGATGCTATGCATTTCCATTAGTCTTCTAAAGAGCTCAATCTAAACAACAATGGAGTTCTGGTAGATAACTAGAAGTAGTTATAGAGAGAAGCAAAGATAACACACACAAAATAATGCTACACTGTTAATAAAAACTTCAAGAATTTTTAGCTCTATATATGCAATATTTGTCCAATGAATGAAAGAAGCCTAGTGGCATAATTTCGTACATTTAAACTATAAATATTTTAACTTTATGAAGTTGGTACAAAGTTCTGAATACATCATTGTTATAAATCATGCAAATATGACACACCGCTATAAATTCAGGAACTTGAGTATTGTAAAATATCTTCTACCACACCATCCTATAAGAAAAGAAATATCTAAAATTGACTAAGTTTAAACAAGTAGACTTGTGAAGAGAAGCAGAAGAGTTAAGAAAAATGATTGACAATGAACTTCAGAAGATTTTATTAAGTTATGTTGTTATCTTTTGAAAATATTGCAATTTGTTCACCCAGATGGAAGAGACCTGTGTTGGGAATTTTTTTAGAAGTTAATTCAAAGTTTCCTGCCATGTGCATCCACTAACAATGAAGTATGTGAAGAAAACTCTGTATATTGATATCTCTCTCTCTCTCCTTCGTACCCCCTACTTCTAAACCCCTCCATTTTGTTTTTAAGAGTACAGAAACTTTCTGTTGTTTGATTTTAGAGTTCTTGCAAAACTTGTGGTATAAATTCCATTTTAAAAAGTAATCAAACATCCGAGAAATTTTGTGGTTAATAATGCAACATGCAAGACAAGGCCTTAAATGTGCTTTTTATTTGAAACACAAATTTATTAAAAATATATTATGCATTCTATTAAGATACTGTCTCCAACTCTGCTCATGACCTTTCTTGTGGATTTTCTCTCTTGTACACGAGATCATCTGTGGTATGAGAATTTTTACTCAAAATATTTCTCTCCCCGTAGTGGTACTACCATTTGCTTTCTTCCACTACTCCATGATGCTCTTTTGTGTTGCTAAAAGAGTTCTTTATATTCTATTTTTTCATGAGCAAAAACCTAATTGTGTGTGGAAATTAGCAAATTGTGTTTTGGAAGTTAATTCACAGAAGGCGGAAAATAAAATAATAACTGTAATTGTTTAAGTATTACTAAGTAGATTAATTGTGAACCTTGTCTTGATTCATGTAAGATACAAAATTGCATTCAATGCTCCTTAAAAATCTTTAATTAAAATAATTTCTAAGAAGTTTAATCCATTAACCCATACATAACATTTTGGTATGTAAGGACTTTGCTGCAATCAGTTGATTCAGACAATGTGTCTATTGATGAATTAAGTTTAGAAATCAATGAACCTAAAATCCATTATACATGATTTGCCCATGTGCTACTGTATTGTTTTATTTTTTAATTTGAATTAAATACCCCTAACTTATTTCTTACCTCTTCCTCATTTCTTATTCTGTTTTCTCTCATAAGGCCCAAAATTGATCTCAAGAATCTCATTTCAGAAGCCAGAATGCTACTGCAGAATGTGCTATTTAGTATCTATATTTCACTTCAAATGGCACAATGTTTCATAACATTTTAGGAGTCTCTTTCCTTGCCTTGTTTTTCAATGTTCTTTTAATCATTTATGATTAAAATATTCTATTTTCCTTTCTACATCAACTTCACCTGAGTATGAAATGTCACAGCCTAGAAACGTAAAAATGTAGACTTGTTTAATGATTATCATTTACTACCAGTTTACATCTTACAGGAAAGCTGCCTTGAAATGCCATAGACTTGGTTTTTACAACTGAGGTTTTAAAGTTATATGGTACTATTATCTATTGAAATTGAAACTGAGCTCTCTATAATTTGTTCTCATTGTCTGCAATAACTACCTGATCATCAGCAAATATTAAAGTTTTAACAAAATTGCATTCTTCAAAGTTGTCTGTGAGTTCTAAAAAATTTAGCTGCGGTTTCCATTCTCTAATTGTAATGTCTAAATAGAGCTTAAATAAGATTGATGACAAACTTCACCCGTGTCTAACACCTTTGTTAATCGTCTTTTGTACAATCTCTCCATTTTCTTTTTGTTCATATGTGTATCATTACATATATTCTTGCTAATTTCAATACTGTGTTGGGGAAGTCATCTCCTTCCCATTATGTTCTAGAGCTTGTTCCTTAAAACATAATCGAATGTGTTGCTGTAATTTATAAATAAGGTAGAAGATTGTATTCCCTTGTCAATAATTTGCTTTAGAGAGGAGGCATTATCTGTATATATTTTTCGTTTGCGAAAGCCTGTTTGCTCTTTAACGAGTGTGTAATTTAATATGCTTCTTAATCGTTCAGCTATTATTTTTGTGTGTATCGTGTAAAAAGGATTCAGGAGGCTTATTCCCCTGTAGTTAGAATATACAGTTTGTGAGCCCCTCTTGAATATTGGGACAACCAGGGCTGATCTCCATCTTACAAGAATTTTTCTTTGTTGCCAGAAGAAAACTGTGTATGGAAGTCTGTTTTACTACTGGTAGATAGTACTTAATTAGAGTTACTAATTAATTAGGGAAATATTAACACTAATTAAAAAGAGTTGATGTTAAATGTGGCTCCACTGCTAATAGTGGTGCTACAACAGCACACATTCTGCCATATAATTTTAAAGGGTTACATAAAATTATAGCATACTAACACTTCAGCTATCACTTGAAAAACTCCTAACTGAACAACGTTGCATCTTTGCTATGCATTTCTATTCCCCTTTTGGGGCATTGAGAGTGGAGTAATATAGTAATCCTCGTTTAACCGTCCTAGGGTGAGTGTGACGTCACAGCAAACAAGTTATGATACCACTTAATTCCTGTTGTTGCTGGTCGATATATATTAGTGTACGTGCAAGTGTATTCTTATCACAGAGGGATCTCGTTCATCAGTTTATTGTGCATTCTTTCCCAAAAAAGGAGTTGTAAAATTTTTTTCTGCAGTTCAAAAATTGTCAAAAAACCTTTTGTGATGGATCCTTATATGTTGAATTCATAGCCTATGTTGTTATGAATTCGATTTATTTCATGGTACATCTCTCACAGATAGTTCTAAAAGCAATGTAAATTAATAAATTAATTTTATTGTTATTACTGAAAGCTGTGAAGGCGTGAAATGGTCAGTGTGACGTATATGTCATACTCATCCTTCTTTACTGCTTTTTATGCCTCTCCACAGTTTTTACTTCATTTTATTGCACAGTCAAAAATCAAAATTTTTAGAAGACTTTTTTTAATTTGTAAAGAATACTGACCGTTTCAGAGATGGACTGACTATCGCAAAATTAGTTCAGTTGCTTGAAGAAAATAATCAAGAAATCGATGGTGACAATACTATAGAGGTAGAGGATATTTTCATTACAACCTGCGAACAAGCTAACTGATGAAGACAGAGGTGATTTGAACACAGAAGGTTTGCTGGATAATTTGAGTGGCAATAAATTGAAGAGTGAAGCTGAGTCAGTTTTCTTATGGAATGATTGGAAAATAGATGGACAAAAGTGTTGTTGCAGTTGCAGCAAAAGTGGGGGCATCAATTTGGAGAATCTTCAGTGAAGCATGTAAAGAGATAGTCCTCAAGAGAAAAAAACATATAACTGTCCCTCAGCCAACAATTATTAGCATATACAATAAAAATATGGGTAGAACCAATTGAACGAATCACAGCATAAATCAGTATTGTATATCTATCAGAGGTAAGAAAATATACTAGACAATAATGACATAGCTCGTATATGCAGCGATAAATAATGCTTGGCAGATTTTCAAGAAGATAAAAAGGAAAATCACTAAACAGGACTTCAGAAGACACTTTTCCATCACATACCTCAGAAGATATAATACAGCTGTCAAATTTGTGGGACCAACAACTGCCGTGGAAGAGGTCAATGCAAATTTTGGACTACATTCACATACACTACGATTGAGTTTATCATCTACTGGGGAAAATAAAAAGCAAAGGTGTGCAAATGAATGCAAAAGTGCTGTTATGACTATGTACATGAAATGTC